TTTTGACTTCTTCTCTTACAAACTCGCGGCGATCGGAGGAGAGGTGTCGTGTTTTCTGCACGACCGGCTTAGCTGCGGGATCGACGGCCAATTTGTGACAAATGACCGACCGATCGATCCCGGGCATATCTTCAGGCCCCCATGCAAAGATATCAGCATACTCCCGGAGCACGGTCAGAACTTCCGCTCGGATCTCGGGGGTGAGGGCTCGGCCAATCTTGATTTTCCTATCCGGGCGATCCTTGGATAGGGGAACTTCTTCTATTTCCTCGGAGGGCTCAGGCTGCTCCTTCCGTTCCTTAGCCTCCTCTTTGGCTATGGTGTTCACCCGGGAAGATGGACCGGAATCACGTTGATTAACCGCTCGGGTGTAACACTTCCGGGCGGATTGGACATCGCCACGGACCACGCCGACCCCATTAGGGGTGGGGAATTTCATGCACAGGTGGGGCATAGAAATTATCCCACCGATCTTCATAATGGCGGGTCGGCCCAAGATAATGTTGTGGACGCAATGGAGGTTGACCACAACAAATTCCAGCTCCGTTTGGATCGACTTTGGAGGCGTGCCGATCTCGACCGGGAGCGTTATTTTTCCCTCAGGGTAGATAAGAGCCCCGGTAAATCCTGACAGTGGTACACCGACCGGAGTCAGCTCCTTCCTGTCAAGGCCAAGCTTCTCAAACACGTCCAAGTATAGGACGTTCACGCTACTGCCCGTGTCAACCATAACCCTCTGGACATCCGTCCCCTTAACGTCAATCGTGACCACGAGCGCCTCCATGCCGTGATCACTGCTGGTAGGTTGGTCCTCGAGGATGAAGGTTATGGGCTCCATCTTCTGCCTCTTCCCGGTCTCCCGGGAATCCACTACTGCGACCGGGCAATTAGTCTGCGGTCGGGAAGCATCTTCCAGCCCACCAAAAATGACGTGGATGGTAGGTTTTCCGGACGGGCGGCTACCGGACGGAGGGTCGGGGTCCCGTCGGTCATCATGACGATCATCCCTCCTGTCTTGCCCAGATCGATCAGAGCGGTGTTGAGAACGTCTATGATCCCTCCGATCGGTGTTCCTTTTGTTTTCCTCTCTCTTCCCCACACACTTGTCTAATTTTCCCAAATTGAGCAAATCTTCCAATAATTGGCGCAAGTGGGTACACTCCTCGGTGTCATGCCCGGCGCATCGATGGTAAGCACAATGCTTACTCTTGTCAGGGCCGTCCCGATCGGGATGGGGAAGTTTGATGAGATTACAGGACTGGGCGTATTGCATGGCCTCCGCTGCGGATCGGTTCAAGGCCGTAAACTCGCCATGCCTGGTGCGGGGTCGGGGATTGTCATCTCCCGATCGATGTTCTGCCCGGCTGGCCGGTTTACGGGACGAAGAGCCGACCTCCTGCGAGCGCTTGACGGCATTCGCCTCACCTGCGTTGGCGTAATCAGTGACCCTTTGGAGGGCCTCCTCATAGGTGGTCGGGGGGTGTAGGATAAAATCTTGGTATAGATACCCCGCCCGGAGGGAGATGTGAAGCATGTGAGTGGCGGTCGCATCATCCATGGGCTCGACCTCCCCGACCGCTGCCTTCCACTTGATGAGGAAGTCGGTTAAGCTTTCCCCTTCGAGCTGCTTGGCCTTTTCGAGGTACATATAGGACTTCCTCACCACTTTGGAAGTAATGAACTTCCGTACAAACTTGATCGCCAGGGTCTCAAATTTGTCGATTGACCCCGGCTGCAGGGTTTGGAACCATTCTGCCGCCCGACCGGTGAGGGTTGAGTAGAAGGCCCTGCACATCACGGCGTCTGAAACGCCCTTCAGCATCATATTGCTGAAAAAATCATTCACGTGAGCCTCAGGATCTGTCCGACCGTCGTAACTCTTCTCTCCCGAGACCTTTAAGTCGAGCGGGTAAGGCTGAGCCATTACCGCTGCTGTGAAAGGCGTCTGGTGTAGGGTCGATCGGTCGGCCGGGGGTGCTGTAGGATACGCACTCCTGAGCTGCGCAACTTCAGCCTGGAGGTTGTAGAGCAATCCCCGGGTTTCGTTGAGCTCGGCGGCTTGAGCGGCTTGGGCTGTATCCCGAGCGCGTCGCCGTCGGTGAGATCTCAACCCGCTATATCCGGATGAAGCCTCGTGGCTAGCTTCCTGCATTTGTACGTCTTCTTGCCCGCGGTTCGGGTCTTGGGGTCCCAAACGCTGGCGCATCTCCGGTCGAAGACGATCAAAAGCTACCGCTCGGGCAACTTCTTCAGGGTCCTCCGCTTGAACGGCCTGAGCTGGTGCCTCCATCGCATCAGCACCCCCCGACCCCAACCGCGAATGAGCCGAGCGTCGAGCCCGGGATGTGGACTGACGCTGCGGCTCCACTTGGGCGGTCGGTTGTACTGGAGGGGCGGCGGCTGGAGCTGTATAAGCAGGCGTATATGGTGGATAGCCAACCGGGGAAGTGTAGCACATTGGTTGGCCTGGCCAATACCCATACGGTGGAGGTGGGACCGGGTATGGATACTGGGCGGGATACATCATCGGCTGCTGCTGGTATGGCAGACCGGGTGGTGGGTATCCCGGTTGTATGTAATTCACCGGCTGTTGGGCGGCCGGGTATGCATTTGACGGATGCGGTGGTGAAAGGTTGAGGTTGAGGTCCATCGTCTGACCCTGCTGTTGGGTAGCATAGTGGTCGGAGGAGCTCGCCGCGTCCGCCTGGTCGTCGGCAAAATTGTTGTGTGCCCACGGATACATGTTGGTATAGAGACCGGGTGCTCGTCAAGACGTTGGTTTCTCGTACGGTTCCCCACGGACGGCGCCAAAATGATACTGCTAATTCTGTGTAAGCAATATAAAATAACACGATACCAATTAAAGCAAGTAAAATCTTTATTGATCCCGGTAAAGGCCCTAAGTACAATCTACTTGGCTGCTCTGAGTACCGACTGACTGCGGTCGGGATTCTCTAACAACAACCTATCGATCGTCCAAAAGTCCTTTACACTGTAGCTACTGTGGGTATTTATAGCCGCTATGCCGGGGACAGGATTCCAGCCGTTCGGCATGTCCTCCACGTAGCCACCACGTGTCATCCTCCCGGGTGCCCTGCCTGTCGATGTAAAGAGCCGCCACGTGTCCTTCGTCAGCTCTTTCGCCAAAGGGGCTACCGCTCGGTGGTCGACACCGTCGCTCGGGTAACTCCCGGTCGGTCTACGACCGAGTTCTTCTCGTGGAGCCCGACCTGTTACCTGCAAAGATAAGGAGAAAGAGACAAAGGCTCCTCGGTCGTGGTGAAGCTATGTCGGTCGGGATATTCCCTACCACATAGCATTTTTATCCCGCTTCACCCAGTAAGAATAATCCATGACTGCTGTTTCAGCTGTGAACATGGGAATAATATATAATCAAGAACAATCCCACAAAATGATTAATCCACCTTAGCAAATGGGAACAAAATGTTGAGGGTAATGCAGCAAGACATGTTATTTGATGGTTTACACCATGGAAGTACGTATCACTTTATATTCAAAACCAAATTTACTTCTTTTTTTTTTTTTTTTTACAAAAGGATAACACAGTCAACTAAAGAGTTATATTGAAAATTGGTAAATTCAATCATGATTTCATATAATTATCCATAGAGAGCTTGCACACCTGACAGTTTGTGTAGAATCTTGTGAAATCCTCGGATAAGTTATAGAGATACTCGCACAATAAATTTGGTAGAAGATTCGTACAAGCTTCTTCAACAACCTACAAGAGTAAGAGGAAAAGAAAATGCAATATTGATACTCTCATAGCTAAGATTGATGCCAAGCAGATGAGATTAGGGATTATTAATTTACCTCAGGAAATTGAAGTAAATGGAGTCCCAACATTCGCTCATCGTGATGAGCTAAATCTAGTGTCCCAGTATGTTCAATAACCATAACATCAGTCTAAAAAATTAACTAAAAGATTGAAGAATTCTAGTTCGGAGATTGTAAGTCTGCAACTATTCACAGGCACTACAACATTGCCATGGTCTGTGCTTTTTTACAAGGATACTTGGGCAATCAATAAAAAAATCCCTAAAGCCAGGCTTAGCTCATCTGAATTGCCATAAAGTGGGTGGGTGGGTGGGTGGGTGGGTGGGTTGTTAAAGTGGAGGTGAAAATTGAGCTGAAATAAGATAAATGAAATTAAAAGTGAATGTTATAGGATCAACTTTCCTTTGTTGCTTCAGTACTTTTCTTTTGGAGGTTGGGAGGGGAGATAAGACACATCAAGTATGATATTGATTAAAAAAAAAAACTCAACTCAACTCAATTACTTCACATGTTTTTTTCCAAAGGGAAATCTAAACCCCCTGATGATGACTTAACAGCGGAACAGTTTCCCCTATTTGTACTGTACACCTTCTGCAGATTCCTGATCTGTATACATCTGCATATCATGAAGATAGGCGTAATTGTACAACTTAATACTTGTACAGAATGCATGCACAACTAAGTCAAGGAAATTCAGTTGGAGATAATATGTAAACATTACCTCACATCAATATCTTGTTTCATTTCCAAACTGATAGTTTCCATGACCAGTTTGTATATCTCTTCTCCAAATAAATTTGCACTCTCTTTATCTGAGTTGTCAATTAAATTAACTTCTGAGGTTGAAGCATAATGTTCTCTAGTATTTTTTTTCTCCTCCAAAAGGATTTCCAGAATGTGGAATTCCATGGGAAGTGCAATCCATTCTCCCTACTAAGAACCTGATTGTATGTATAAACTCCTGGGCTTTTTCTCTTGATAAAATCATTGAGACAGCATAAATGTATTTGTTTTCAGTTTTATCTGAACTAGCTTAGGATTTTAAAGAGGATGAGGACTGCTTTTATCTATAAAAAATCTTTAGCGTTGCACTCACCGATTCCTCCAGAACTTTTTCCTTTTCATTCTGAAGGATATGAACCTAAACCCAAAATTACAACAAAGCTTCCTTCAATCTAAGAAATATCATGTCTTAAGAAGTGACATTTAAGAGTATCAGCAAATCAAATCATAATCAACTAGCTATGAGGTTTTGGATACAATTTCATGTCAAATGTCAAAAGGCCAACAACATTTTACACAGCTAGGCTCGAGTACGGTAAAAACATGATATGTATAGTACCTCCTCATCGTTGTCATTAATGGAAAGATCAGCTTTGTCATTTGCAATTATTCTTCTCTCTGAGGATTTTTTTCTCCACGGCCAATTCTTTTGGTCCATGGTCTACTGTTTGCTGTAAAATATCAAAATCGGGGTTGTCGGTGGTCACTCCAATGATTCAATGAAAATGTCAAGGTCTCAAATATCCAAATCATAGCTTATTAAGTCAAGTTTACCCACACTTCTGCTAGGACATCCACTTCTTGGATAAGACTGGCTGACGTGAAACTTATAATCTAACAAATAATGTTATGCTTCTGACTTATCAGACATCATTACATTATAGTCATATTCTAATAATGTAGAAATCACAAAAAAGGTACTTCCTACATTATAGTCCTATTATAACCAACCCTGTTTTACTTGGTTAGTTACCTGCTAAGTGTTCTTGATCTTAATCATTCTTGAGTAAAAAGGCGAAAGATTCAATTTCCCAGTATCAAACATAAGTTTAGGATAATACATTAATCATGCAAGAACAAAATATTAAGGTTACTTAAGTTTATGATAATATAATCCAATGATCATGCAAGAACAGAAGATCAAGGGTTACTTCACTTTAGGGAAAAAAATTGTTAGCGTCATGTGTTAAATCAATTAGAAAAAGATATCTAGATGTTCCAATCTGATAAAAGCAGTGCCTAAAGCATATCTTAAAGTCAATAATTTGTCATGCATAAAACTGTATATGAAGTGTTAAAGTAGCTAAGATTCAGAATAGATATATTAGCATATATAAATGGCACCTCTTAGCAATCAAGGCATCATTGTTGTACATAGAGCTCCGAGAATGAACACGTGACAGCATATCCAAACTAATTGTAGGATAATGTGTAAGAAGAGCTGCTTTGCAGATTCACCCACTAAATCAGTAAGAGCTGCTTCAATGTTCATGTGCACATCCTCTCTGTCAGTCCTCCACAAGAACTTGCATGCTTCAATCTGCCTTTCTATCTCATCTAGACCTTGTAGAATTGTATCCCTGTCATTTTCGCTAATCAATCCCTACGGTACACCAAAACAATTGTGCACATTTGAATACTACTCTTTCACATTTCACTTGTTAAGGAAATAGAAGTCATGAACTAAATTCGGTCCTCTTTATGTTTGTGTCATAAACTAAAACCAAATGTGGTAACGATAGAACACCACAAATTTGCAATTTCTTAATAGCTAGGCCAGCAAAGCAAGATATAATGAGAATAAGAAGAAAGCATTAACATTTTATAATGAACATATTCAAAACCAAATGATGACTTTTACACATAAAAGAAAAAGCTTATAGCTTGGTCAGCAAAGTAAGACAAAACATATAGAGGAAGAGAGCATTTAAATTTCAGATGAATAGATTTGAAACCAAATCAGGATAGAGTGTAGATGACTTGTATAACCATCCAACAGATGTAACCACATACACAGCCAATTCTAGTCTAATTATAATATCACCAAACCAACAAAAATTTTCCTAATTCATCATTGGCAACTAAAAAGATTATAATTAATAGCAAAACCTCAGAGATTTTTAAAAAATATAGTTAAATATAATCATTCCAATAAATCATATTAAACAATTCACAGCACTAGAAAAACCAAGTAACCATACCTCACAAATATATATAACATATATTATATATTATAACATATAATACCCCATATTTATACAGAAATAAGTAAAAAAAAAATATTTAAATTTGTATTTCTATTATATAGAGAGAGGAGCCAACTCAAGTGCAAACCATTCCTAAAGTATAAACTACAAACACATCTTAACTGTTAAAAGTAAAATTCACTCTAGAACATATTCATCATCTACATTTTTATAGCATATATATAATGCTCATCTTTTTACAGCAAAATGTATGTATCAATACAAGTAGAAAGTCATACATACTGTTTTCTGGATTCTCTATCGTAGATAGCATGCCTGAATGCTTGATAGATCTAGAAGCTAAGAAGATACTTTCCCCAATTCGAAGTGAAGGCCAATGCCCTAATTATTCTGAATCAGATTCGGAACTTCATTCTTTTATATCTCTCTAATTATATTAAAAATAACTAAAAACTATAGATTATAAACAAAGAACCCTAACAATAGATTAAGAAATAAAGAATCCTAACCATTACATCGTCGATCAAGGAGAAGCGCTATGGAGGAGAAGGCGTCGTCGATGGAGGAGAAGAGCAAGGGAGGGGGTGTCGTCCTTCGAGGAAAAGAATTGGAGAGGAGAAGGTTTAAATCTATGATTGAGGAGAAGAGGTAAGGAGGAGAAGGATTGAATTGAAATCTGCGTTTGAGGTGAAGAGGTAGGGAGGAAAAGGTTTAAATCTGGGATTGAGGAGAAGGTCTTTAGATCTAGCTGCCAAAAAGAGTTAGGAAAAATAGATATAATAGATATTTATATATTGGGCAGCTGCGCAAATGGCCAAGTGTTTTTTAGGTCTGTTTGCGATTTAAAAAAATTATTCCGACCACAGTATTTGGTGGTCGGAAAATGAGATTAATTTAAATATTTAGCGAAATTGTCCGGCCACAATATAAAAAATGATTGAAATTACCGACCACTTCGTAAATGTGGTCGGAAATTCCGACCAATTTCCGACAACGCTTCTATTTGGACGAAAAAATGAAAAAAAGTCAATTTTTGCGATCAAATTTTTAGGTGGCCAGAAAGAGGTCGGAAAATGGATAATTTCCAGCAGTGAAATATTCACGCAGTTCGGAGTCTCATTCCTACGTCTGCGGAGCCACCCACGTAAGCCTAATCCACTGAATGATCAACAAGGAGTACAAGGGGAGAGTACAAGTTACACAACAGTGTAAACTACAACAACTCCAGCAAATCCTTCATCATCATAACAGACTTGACGTGCAGGCAATGTTCATCACAGCATGAACCAGTTGAGAAAACTTCACCACAAGAACATATTGATAGACTAACCAAAGGAGGATTTGAGGAATGAAATATAGAAATTAATCCCTTGAATCTTCAATTAAAGAATAGCTCAAAGTAGCATTTTATAGAGGTGAAATGAGAACCTCTTGGTCTGAAAATGTGTTGCTTCCAAATCCTCAAATAAGCTGCACCACAAGATTTAAACCAGCAACGAAATAGGGTCTGAAACAAACAACCGGTTTGAAGATGTAAACTGCTGACTCAAGCGCGTCCTGACATTGATCCAGAATCCTAACAGTTATTCTATTTTGACAACTAATTAAGCCAACATAATAGGGTCCAATGTGTATTATATATTCTTTACACTTACAGGTCCAAATGCACTAACTAATATAGTAAAAATTATTCAAAATAACATGCATTACACCACTTTTTTTTTTAAAGGACATTACACCACTCTTTAAATAAAGAGCAAGGGAATAGACAATAAAAACCATAAATGATTTTTGCAATTAAACCCATAAATGGTTCTAATAACGTTATGTGAAATCAATGTATGCACAAATAAAGAGAGCATATCATCATAAAATTTGTTGTGACTTATTCTTGTGAAATTTTAAAAATAACTACCAATATATACTTATTTTACTACTCCGCATTAAAAATGAAAGCATATCATAAAGTTTGATGTGATTTATAATTCTTTTGAAATTTAAGAAATAACTACTAGTACATACTTATTTTACTATTAATTAATTAATTTTATATACAAAAAAACAAAGTAAATAAAAATTGACAAGAACATGTGTGAACCGTTTTAGGAATCCTTATCCGTGAGGCAGGTTGGGTCAATATGAAATGTAATACTTATACTGAAAAATATAATACTAAATCAGGAATAAAATGTTTACTATATGGAAAAATGTAATACTTTTACATTTTGATTTAAAAGTATTACTTTTTTTCTTCACAAATATTACAATTGCCTTTATAAATAGCAAACACTTGTCTGTATTAATATTTCACTTCAAACAAATTCACACAACACCAATTAAAATGGAATTGCTGTCGCCTTCCAAATGGCCAACATTCTTCGTGGTTTGCAATAAACAAACTACAAAGGCGGAAGCCTTAGCTTTTCTTTTTGGCTTCAGCTTCGGCCTTCGGCACACGAAATCAAGACGGCAGAATTTAAATTCTGCTATTGTTTGCCACACAGCACAAACCCACAAACAGGCCAATTCAAAAATCTTTAATTTAATTATTTTATCAATACAAAAATAATACACACACAAATTTTTACATATTAACAATAATTCCTAAAATTTAAATATATTAACATTAATTCCTAAAATTTGAAATAAATTATCTCGATGCTTAGCACTGTATTTTACTATTTTGTACTTTGTAACTATCTCGACGGGATTACTTACTATCTTACTAGGTAATTTTGTCTTTAAATTATGTAAAATGTAAGTTATTATATTCGATTATTTGTGGGGAGCAAAAAAATTCTCTCTCTAGATTCGCTATGCCGGATGGAGGGGGCGAGACTGGGGGTAGGGCGAACTGGTGGGGGAAGTTCAATCGACGGGATGAACAGAAGGGGAGAGGAGACGGCTCCGGGGTTCAAGTGAAGGGAGGGTGAGTTTGAGGGCAGTGGAGGTTTGCGACGTAGGAGTGATGTCCCGGCGGTGGAGGTCGGCAGTATGGAGGGGAGGAATGCTGGCAGTAGGGTGCAGCGTGGGAGGGGAGGGGATGTGACTGGTCGGCTAGCGGAGGCGGTGGCTGATGTTGCGGGGTTGACGGATCGGTGGGCGGATTGGGCGCTGCTGGAGGAGGAGGGCGCGGTGTTTATGTTGGAAGGGGAGGTTGCCGGAGTGGAGGGTGGCGGGGAGGGTGAGGAGGAGACGTGGAGGGTGGTGGGGAGGTTTCTGACACAGAAATTGATTAAATTGGATTTTATGAGGCAGGTGTTAGCGTTGGTGTGGCAGCCGGTGCGTGGGGTGCAGGTAACGGAAATTCAAAGGGGATTGTTCTTATTTATTTTTTTTTTTCCATAAAACATATATGGACTATGTGTTGAATGGGGGACCCTGGGCATTTGAGAACAACGCACTTGTGTGTCGGGAGGTTATGGACGGGGTGAATCCTCTCGATGTGAAGCTAGACATGATTGACATGTGGGTACAGTTGCATGATATGCCGAAGGGGTGTACAACTCAGGCAATTCTGGAACAGGCAGGGAACTTTTTGGGTTCTTTTGTTAAGCATGATGACCGTTTTGAAGGGGCGCCATGGCTAACCTTTCATTGTATTCGGGTGTCAATTCCGGTTGATAGGCCGCTTAGGAGGAGGATGAGATTGATGAAGAGGGATAGGACAACAACATGGGTTAATTTCAGGTATGAACGGTTGCACAAGTTCTGCTACTTTTGTAGTTATATGGGTCACTTGCACACGTTTTGTCTACAAGCTAGGGAAGCGGGAATTCCAGTGGAAAGGTACCTGTACGGTCTGGATATGCGGGCTGGTGGATCCCGGAGCGTTCCTAGAGTGGTTGGGGATAGCTGGCTCGTGCCGGTAGGCGGGAAACCACGTCCATTGGTGGCAAAACCACGGGTGACTGAGGCAGTAGACGGGGGTCTGGAGGTGGGGGTGTCATGCAGACGAGTATGTCTGAGGATGAGATGGTGGTGGCTACGGCAAAGCGCCATAGGCATGGTACGGAAGACGGAGAAGCTTGAGGGGAGGATGATGTTACAATGACCGATGGTTCAAAAAACTTGCCCATGGCGAGAGCTAGTGTCCAGCCCCGCCCGTCATCATGAGTACATTGAGCTGGAACTGTCGTGGCTTGGGCAATCCACGCACAGTTCGAGAAGTAGTGGACATGGTGTCCCGTAAGAAGCCAGGGTTAGTGTTTTTAATGGAAACCAAGGTGGGATGGAGTCATGCAGAGAGAGTCCGTGTCAGGCTTGGATATGATGGATTGTTTTATGTGAATAATGAAGGTTTGAGTGGGGGGATGACTCTCATATGGAAGAAAAACAACACTGTTAGATTGTTGAGTTACTCGCCGAACCATATTGATATTGAGGTTAGTATAACTGGAAAGTTTTGGCGTATGACATGCTTATATGGGTGTTCGGATCGAAACAGGAGGGAGGAAACCTGGGAGCTGCTGGGTATGTTGAGGAATAGATCTGGTTGCCCTGGGTGGTGATAGGGGATTTTAATAATCTTCTCTATCAACATGAAAAGGGGGGGGGGGGGGGGATCCGTATCCGAATAGCCTCCTGCGTGGGTTTGGGGATACCATTAATGAGTGCGGGTTGATGCAGATGCCGATGCGGGGCCGTCAGTTCACATGGGATAAGAGTAAAGGCACGGCGAATTGGATACAGGAAAGGCTGGATAAGGTGTTTATAACAAAGGAGTGGGGTGGTATGAATGAGAATGCATGGGTGGAAAATATACAGACTTGAGAATCGGATCACTCGGCTTTGTTTCTTAATGTAAATACGCTTGGCATACGAAGAGTAAGAGGGCCGAGGAATTTCAGATTTGAGAACGATGGTTATTGGATGAGGGGTGCAAGGAGGTGGTGGAGGCAGCCTGGCAGGAGAGGAGGCCGGAGGGCTTGTTGCACTGTCAGCAAGTTTGTGGTGTGAAGTTAATGCGGTGGGGGGGGGGGGGGTGGGACCAGTTCCATAAATTTGGTCACCGAATCGGGCAGTTGCGGAGACAGCAAGAGATGTTCCGAGATGTAACGAATCCGGTCGCATTGGCCGAATTCCAACGAAATGAGAATCAGCTCAAGCAATTGGAGGCCCAGGAGGATGTGTTTTGGAGAGAGCGGGCGAAACAACACTTGCTCCGGGGTGCGGATGCCAACACCAAGTTCTACCACAGGTATGCTTCTGCCCGTAGAAAGAAGAATTTTATTGCTAGTATTAAAAATGATGGTGGTGATTGGGTGGAGGACAGGGATATGCATTCGGTCATACTGGATTATTTTAAGGGCATTTTTACTTCTAATAATTTGAGCTGCGATGATCCCCTTTTTAATGATTTTACCCCGTCGGATGAGAATAATGAGATGTTGAATCGGCCTTTTTCTGTGGAAAAGGTAAGAACTGCGCTTTTTTCTATGTTCCCGGATAAAGCACCAGGCCCGGATGGAATGAATCCGGGTTTCTACCAGCATTTTTGGTCTGTTGTGGGGGAGGATGTGTCTGGATTTATATTGCATGCATTGAATTCTGGTGTATTTTCGGAAGGTCTGAATGATACTAACATAGTATTAATTCTTAAAAAGGAGGTCCCGGAGACTGTTGCAGATTTGAGACCGATTGCGTTGAGCAATGTCATTTATAGAATAATGGCTAAAATATTGACAAACATAATGAAATTGCTAATGGGTGAATCATTTCGGAATCCCAAAGTGCGTTTATTCCTGACAGGTTAATTACAGATAATATCTTGGTGGCAGCTGTGGTGGGTCACTACTTGAACAGGAAGTAGTGTGGTGTGGTTGGTTGGAGTGCACTGAAGTTGGACATGTCGAAAGCATATGATAGAATGGAGTGAAATTTTTTGGAAAGAATGTTGGTGGTGCTGGGGTTTAGTGATAAATGGGTCCGGCTGATAATGCTGTGTGTGACAACGGTGAACTATACTGTGATGGTGAATGGGGAGGTAGGAGGACGGGTCAAACCGACTCGTGGGCTCAGACAAGGAGACCCTCTTTCCCCTTATTTATTTATTATCTGTGCTGTGGCATTTTCGATGTTATTGCAAAAGGAACAGGTTGCAGGATCTATACATGGATGTAGAGTTGCCAGGGGGGCACCTCCGGTATCGCATTTATTTTTTGCGGATGACAGCCTGCTTTTCTTTAAAGCAAATATTCACGAAGCTAATGTGGTTAAACAATGTTTGGTGAGGTATGAGAAGCTATCTGGACAGGTGGTGAATTATAACAAGTCAAATATATGTTTTAGTCGAAATGCCCAGCACATGGCCAGAACACAGGTGGCGAACTGCCTTGAGGTTGTGCAGGCGAATAATTTTGGGAAATATCTGGGCCTCCCATCGTTTGTGAGCAGAAATAAAAAAGCAGTTTTTTCTTATGTGGGGGAAAAGATCAGGCAAAGGATTGGATCGCGGAATAAAAAATTATTATCTCAGGCTGGTAAGGAGGTTTTATTGAAAAGTGTAGCTCAATCTATGCCAACCTTTTCGATGAGTGTCTTTTTGTTGCCTGAAACAGTTTGTCAATCCATTGAGAAAACCATGAATAGATACTGGTGGGGAAGTGGCAGAGATAGGGGATACATTGGAAGGCATGGGATAAATTATGTATCCCTAAAAAATTTGGTGGATTGGGTTTCAAGGAATTGAGAGCATTTAACTTCGCTATGCTGGGTAAGCAGGCATGACGTTTTCTTACGGATCCAGGATCTCTGGTGGCAAGAATATACAAAGCCTGGTATTTCCCCACTTCTAGCTTTGTTGATGCAACTATTGGAAATTGCCCAAGTTTTGTTGGAGGAGTATAATGGCAGCACACCCAGTAGTGGTAGCTGGGATAAGGCGCAGAATTGGAAATGGTGAGACAACTCTTATTTGGGGACACCCATGGCTCCAGGATAATCCAAGCCCCTTGGTACAAACAGTTATGCCTGAGGAGTTAAGGGAGGCACGAATAGCAGGTTTAATAGACCCACAAACAAAAATATGGGATCCACATATTTTATCTGATTTATTTATCCCTGAGGATGTGAGCAGAATAATTATGATTCCTGTTAGCCCTGATTATGATGACTCATGGTACTGGATAGGTGACCCAAAAGGGATTTATTCAGTAAAAAATGCTTACAGGCGTATTATTGGTGATTATGAGAATAACCCAGGTGATTTTGATAAGTGGGTTAAGATGTGGAAATTAAAAGTACCACCAAAGTGGAAGACTTTTTTGTGGAGAGCAGTATGTGATATTCTACCCACTACCACGAACTTAATTAATAAGAGAGTGGAGATTGACCCGACATGCCCTATGTGCATGATTAATCATGAAGATGTGTTGCATGCATTAGTATATTGTGAATATTCTACATTAGTTTGGAATATAACACAATTGCCTATCACAAACATTGTTACAGATTCGTTCGCAGCATGGCTAACTGGGGCTATGGCGGCCTTAACGGAGGAACAGACACAGTTTATGGTGGGGGTTCTCTACAATATATGGAGATGCCGCAATGCGGCCGTGTAGAAAGGAGCCATGTCACGGCCGCAAACGGTGGTAAAGGGGGCGACAACAATGCTCCAAGCATATGGCGATGTGCACAGTCGCACCACACGGGTGGAATCGCTGCCACAGTCAGGACCGGAGTTGCCCGACAATCACATGCGATGTTATATAGATGCGGGGTATCGGCAGGAAACCGGGGAGGCTACGTATGGAATTCTGTTATTAGCGCCCGGGGGTTCGTTTGTTGCGGCAAAGAATGGTAGATTGTCCTCTTGTTTTTCACCACTCATGGCGAAGGCATTGGCATTTAAAGAGGCGCTGTCTTGGCTAATTGAAAGGAATGTTTACTCGGTGTGTCTTCTTACAGATTGTATGGTACTGCGAACCACCATACACCACCAATCTACACCCATTCACTCATATGTTGGGGTGATAATTGACCAGTGCAGAACAATGATGTCTTTGTTTAATTTTATTTCGTTAAACTATGTGCCTAGACAGATTAATTTACATGCTCATACTTTAGCTTCGTTAGCTTTTACTCAGGAACACTCTATATATTGGGATGCTATCCCTCCTAACGCTATTACAGCTTTTATCAATTAATACAATCGGCGGATTGGTTTTTCAAAAATATTCGATTATTTGTGTTATTTTTATTTCCGAAATTAGCTTTGTGGAAGTTGCAATACAGTGAAGGTTTTAGTGGCAAATTATTGTGTGGACCATGGTCCACACAATATTACGTGGACCATAACAAAAAGTACATTTTTAATAAACTAAATGTACATTATTTTTGTACTGAATTTACATTATTTTTATAAAATGTACATTATTTTACAGTAGACAAAATATGATCCACACAACTTGTGTGGATTACAGTCCACACAATAATGATTGGGTTTTAGTGGTTGTGTTAAAAAATGTTACTGTAGCTATATATATACTTGTCGGTATGGACTAAACATGGGAAAATCATAATATAACCAGCCAGCAGGTTGTGTGTTAAGCTACTAGTAATATAATCTAAGCTTTGTTGTTTGGTTCTTCATTAACAATTATCAAGAAATGAGCAGAGGAGAAGGAAAGTGGTCTCTTAAGGGCATGACTGCCCTCGTCACTGGTGGAACCAGAGGCATTGGGTATGAATTAATTCAACTACTAAACTCTTTC